TGGGGATGGGGATGGGGATGGGGGAGTAGTGTTTAGCACAAACAAGGTGAGACTTGATCAAAATTGTTTGACTTTGAGTTTTTATGTTACTTATAAGGAGAAATAAAATAATATGCGATACAATCTATGCTTTTTAGACTTCTTAAAAATACTGTCAGATATGTGTCAATTGAATTCTTTTGAAATAGTACATTTTGATGAATTCAACATATGTGCATTATTTTTAGAGAATACGAACAACACGAAAAAATAATTACTAGTAATTTCTTTGATGTCTATCAAAATCTATACGAAATATCATATATAGCGTGACTCCAGTCCAGATCGAATGAGTTATTTTTATAACATTACAACCCTCTATTTCTCTCTTGTTTAACTCAAGTTGTTCTATTTATATGACAGTTAAAATAACTTGTTTCAAAAAGATTATACCTCCATTAGTATATGTAACGTTCATAAATTTTCTTACTAATAAAGTAAAAACAATTTAGAATCATACTTATATCTAGTAATACTGATGAATTTAATTCTCACCTTCCTCATTTTTTAAATTAAAATAATAATATATAGAAATATGTGGAACAAAAAAAGGGAAGTCAGATAAATTGAATTTGTGAAATATTGGCTATATGGAGTTTCAAGGGTCAGTAATTTTAAAAATAAATAAATTGAAAATGGTATTATGGTTTTATTTATTGTGTTTGATTTTGATGTTTGAATAAAAATAATACTCTATATAAAGTTGTTATTTTTTTTTCTAAATTACTCACATTTTATGTGGGGACATTTTCTTTTATTGGACTTTTTTTTTTTTTTTTGAATATGACTAATTCTTATAACAGAAAAGTTGGAATAAATTTTTTAAATAATGTGAGTGGGAATTTTTTTATGTTTTATTAAAAAAAACATGCCACGTAGGTCCATTAGACGTTTTATTTAGGATACTTCAAGTGGTACGGAACTTTTCATATTTTTTTTAAAACTTATTTATCCTTTTCAATTTCTTGGTACGAATTTTGCCAACTTTGTACGAAATATTATTTTTTTCATAGATAGCAGTGGATACATTTGTTAGACCATCTCAAACCCATCTCTATTTTACTCTTCATTTTCTATATTTTGAGAGTAATATAGAGAATAGCACTCCAACTCACCTCTAAATCACCCTCTATTTTTCAAATTTAGAGA